TGAACGACTTTTGGTAGTCAAGAGTAGCAATGTTTAAACTGAACGCTGAACACACATTATATAAAATCACTGAAAGAACCACAGATGTGTCACAGTGACTGTTCTAAAGAAAGACCTTACAATAGCAACATCATCTGACCTTCAAAGTTTACTAGTACATATATCTTAGATATGCTTGTGCAAAAATCTAATACATTGGAGGATTGAGGGAGATTTCTAGGCCTCTTTTAATTCACTATACCACCTTAAGAGAGCAAAGGACACAGCATAGGCACATATTTACACACACACACACACACACACACACACACACACACACACACACACACACAACATAAAACATACAAACACAAACAGACACATACCTCCATGCAGATCTGGTAGAGCACCAGGCAAGCTGTGTGGTTGAAGAGACGGTTTCTTTTCCAACTGAACTCTACGGTGTCCTCCTCCACTTCATGCAGCACTGACAAAGACAGACATAGGAACAGAAGGAATGAAGAGGAGAGAGTCTCGGTTTAAAACCGTTATAGATCCATCTCTGTTGGTTCTGAGTTTGTACCTTTGATCTTGTAGAAAGTCTCAGGTATGAAAGCCTGAATGGCCTTGAAGCGCTCCACCACGAAGCCCAGAGTGGGAAACTGACAGCTGCCATATGAGATCAGCTGATTTGCCAGAGAGTTTGGAAAGATCTTCTGCAGGCGAAGCGTCTGAAATCGAGTGAAGGACGCACCTGAAGATGAGCACAGGAGAGAGAATGGGATCATATTCACAACTTTCAGGCTTATCAGACACATGTTTAGATAAGCAGAGGCACTAGAGTTGTATCATGGATCAAGTGATAGTTAACCAAGGTTGCCATCCAGACTCTTCACCTGAATCAGTGTGTGTCTCTACATATTACTCAGTACAATTTAAGACTGCTACCATACCTATCCGCAGGTCCAGCTCCTGACGGACATCGACAGCATCACTGATGTTAGCATCCGGCTCCATTAGAGTCTCACAAGCTCTCCGAATGGAGTTGGGGGTAATCTCAGAAAATTTTGCCCGAAAGACCTGTATATTGGGCTTCACTAAAAAGCATACACATACACTATTAGCAGGAGCGACTTGAAACATACACAAAAACTGCTTTTTTTAGGCTTTACACAGTCACAGAAACATTTATATTTCTACATATTTGTTTATATATTAAGTCTACATACTAAGATGTACATTGTTAAATGAATAGTTTGACATTTTGGAATAAAAAGATGAGAAGATTGATACCACCCTCACGTCTGTACAGTAAAGAAGCCACAGACAGTAGCTGGTTAGCTTAGCTTAGCACAGAGATTGGGAACAGGATAAAACGGCTAGCCAGGCACATACTCCTCATAAAAAGTTGTGTTGTTTTCATTCTTTAGTTTTTGATCAGATTAAACAAATGTGATATAACGTGTTAATTACTGAGCTTAAGGAAGCACAGTTTTTATTTCTTTTGGACAGAACCTGGCTGGTTCCCTGTTTCCAGTCTTGCACTAAGCTAACTGTTTTCTGGCTCCAGCTTCATATTTACCATACAGACATAAGTCATCTAACTCTCAGACGACGACAACAACAACAACAACAACAACCTACACATTCTATTATACCTGTTTTGCAGACGTCGATGATTTCAAAGCCGATGTTTTCTCCCTCTCTGTCACAATCAGTCCAGATGACTAAGGCCTGGCACTGTCTCGCCTCTTTCTCTAGTGTGCGCTACAGAGAAGAGTTTGAGATGGAGAATGAGGGAGTCATATAAATCTTTCAAGTCCATTTCTATAATTCGGATTCATCATTATTTTCTTTGAATGGAAATTATAAACTCCTACTGATGAGAGATGAAAAGGCAAAAAAGTGCATCATCTGTGCCTACACTCACTCAGAATAAACAAATGATGAAGTTTATCCCAGTTTTATAAAAATAAAACAATTAGGCAATCGAACAAGCATACCTTGATTTGTAGCATGTTATCTGGACAATACTTCTCTACCTCAGCATCAAACAACAGCACAGGATTGCAGCTGTGCCTGTGGACAGAAAAGGTACAAATACGGTCAGTTGTGTAGGATACTGTGTGATGGTGAATATATAACATAACTTAAACTTTAACTTACCATTTCTGGAAGGGCGCTTTAAACTCCATCCCCAGTAAATGGCCTGATACTGATGTCATTGTTACTGTCACATTCTGGAGCGGGACAGAAACATAATGAAACAGAAATATCTGAGACAATGGAAAACACAAAAAAACCCAGATGTGCATATGTAATTATTTCACTGTTCTGTTTTACTTACCTGACCAAAGAGATGGTATTCATACTCATAGATTTTATTAAACTTTGACATCCCTTCCCTCTAAAAAATGGAAAAGAAGACAATCAGTATTATAACAACTGAAGAGAAAAATCTGAAGAACAAAGTTTTATTCTATTCATCATTTGAATTAATATGGTCTGATTTTGGGATATAATATGGGAGAGACTTTTTATTCAAAACATTTTTGAGCTTTTTATGCCTTTAATGGATAGTGATAGCCCGTAATCGACAGGAGGGGGGGGGGGGGCAGCGCAGCAAAGGGCCACAGGCTGGAATCGAACCTGTACCGCTGTGGAAAAGACTCAGCCTTATTACATGGGGCACACAGCCTCACGCTCAACCAGGTGAGCTAGAGCTACCAAGGCACCACATGAGAGAGTCTTTTGAGCTCAGTGGATGTGCCAGGTATTATCCATGAATGGGTGCAAATAAAAGGTGTTGTAAGTATTGAGCAACAGCATGTTGTTGTTGTTGTTTATGTTGTCCAACTAACAGTCCAAAGATATTCAGTGTACTCTCATATATAACACAAGATATCAGCAAATATTAACATTTGAAATGCTAGATTTAGTATTTTTTTGTCAATCAAATGTCTGATATACATCATCCGTTCCTAGAAGGTGTTTGGGGGAGCAAGTGACTCCATGAACACCAGAAAAAGTGTAGTGGTTTCTCTTGTACTAATGTTCAGCCAATATTCTGGTGTCTAACTGGATGCTCAATAATGTATTAGCTATAATTAATGATCTGTAAAGGTAATGGAAAGATCATGTGGAGGACACAAACTGATCCCTGAACAGTCACATTAAATTAAAGTAAATGCTGATCACAAGTTCCCACAGGTGTCCTGATACCCGTGGGACCAACAGAATAAACACAAAACTGAGCACCAGTCAGCCACCAGCCAAATGCCAGTAAAATACAGAGTGGCTGGGAGATTTACTTGACTCAGCAGCCAAAAGACAAACACTGGTAATGTATATTGAGCTCTGGTAAAACATTCACTAGCCATTTGGCCAATAGACACAGAAGTTAATTTTGTACCCTATGAACATATACAACAGGAAAGAAGAAAAGCAGAAAATCCTCACATTTGAGAAACTTAACACAGGAATTATTTGCCATTTGTTCTACTTTAAAGTAAACTTAAGATTGTTTGCCGACTCACTGCCTGTCCACTGCCTTATATTATAGCCTCATACAGAGTGATAACATTATGGGCTGGTGGGCTCCTGGAGGTCACCAACCTTTCTGAACCTGCCGCCGGACATGATCCCGGCGATGCCTTTGGCTGCATCGTTCTTCTCGGCCACGCAGAGGACCCGACTGATCTGAGCCCGGTTGCGGGTCATGTCCTCCTGCTGCGGGGTGTCCGGACACGGGCCACTCTGCGCCGCACAGAAACACCTCCGTCCGACCCGTCCGACCCGTCCGACCCTTAGCCGCTGAAGTACCGATCTAAGACAAGACTTGCCCAGGAAGTGTAGTATCATATCCGTCCGCTCTCACATGAAGCAGCGGGTCGTCCGGGCAACACCACGGCAGCTGTCCTAACCGGTGTTAGCGTGTTAGCTGAGGCAGCTAGCTGAAGCTATGACAACCGCTCCTCAAAACGTTTACTTCTTGTCCGATAACGACAAAAGAGAACCATTAGAAAGAAAAGCTGAACCATAAACAATCTCTAATTAAAAGCTTTAATGAGGAGAAACTCTGACCTGTTACAAACGGGGGCTGTTAGCTCTGTTTACAAATTGCCCGCCTGCCCGTCTGTCTGTCTGACGCTGCCGTAATCAGGGTCGTAAAACTGTCGTAAAGTCCGGGAAGTTTATATAAATAGTAATAACTGTATTAAAATAGAATAATTGTCTACACACGCAGCGTTTGTATAATTATTAATAGAATATTGTTTTTAATAATAACTGTAATGTAAATGTGTTATGTTTTATTTAATCAACGGTAAAAAGAAAATCCACCCTAAATCACAATTTGTATTTTGACATTTCAACATCTACAAATAATAATATAAAACTATTAGTTTGTTGATGTGATATGTTTTTTTCTTAGGAATCTGGAGTTTTAGTAATTCTACAGTTAAAAACATTTAGTTTGTATTTTAGACCTTTTATTTTAAAACTATATTTTAATGTATACATTTTTGTATAAATAGATTATTCAGTAGGCCTATTACTCACCAATGTTTTATTCCTGCAAGCACGGAGAGAGTGAAGGAGAGAAAAAGGCTCTTTCTATCATTATCACATTTTATTTTACAGGTCCATGACTTCTTAATAATCTTGTTGGAAGAAGTTATATGTTAGAAGAGATAAGTAAACTAGAGTCAATGTTCTGAATCTTTTTAACAGAGATCTTTGCATTTATAAACTGTTTATAAATTTCAGGTCACATGTTATGTTCCATTTAATTATAACTTGCAGAAAACAGCTAATCAAATAAACATGATGTGAAAAATCGAGAAACTTTCTTTTTGATATTTTGGAGACTGATTCATGATCTCAATCTGACCTCAGTATCACCTCAAAGTCCTGGCAAAGTGTCACCAGTCTGTTTTATAAAGACATGATCCCAGAAGAAATACATTACATTTGTGTTTCAGGGTGGAATTTCTCCAGATGGGGAGGTGGATTGGTCACCTGACCAGAATACAACCAGCTGGGTAAACATGGCGTCTGTCTCTGGATGTGAAAATTACATGTAGCGCTTTCGTCTGTTTAACGGTGCATGTGTCGCACCGACGTCCCGCATTTGATCCCCGGACAGAGCAACGTGATGGACCCGACGCACGAAGAGAGGAAGAGGAGAAGGAGAGAAGCGCTTCACTGATGCTGCTTTATATTTTTGCTCTCTGCACAGCATGAGTGGTCTGATGTCTGCCCGGACCCTGTGATTGGCGCAACATAATTGCTTTTGTTAACAGACGCACTGATTTATATTCCGGTCGAGGTGTCCACTTTTATTTAATCTGACAAACATCAAGGCTCTCGTTCTGTGGACTGGCTCCCGTAGTGTCCTGTTTTTTGGGTCCACTCTGCTGTGGGACCCCCTTTATAGATTATATAATCAGGTTCATATTTTCTTCATCTCCTTGGCCCCACAGCTCCTTTAACCTCACTAACAGATGTGCTGCCCGGACAGTGTAAGAGCAGCATGGTCAGTCTGACTGCACTTTATGTGGACAGCTGCTCTATGACTGTTAACTGTGCTGCACTGTGTGCTGTGTTTCTCATGCCTTGCTCAACAACACCACTATGATAGGCTCACCTGACCTGGTGGCTTTCACTAAAGAGGATGACTATGGGGAGACGAGTCCCGACCCCTGGGCTCTCCCCGAGGAGTTCTCTGTTCCCCTCCATCCGCTGGCTGACTCCAACCCCTGGGCCAAAACCTCTTATGCCAAGTTCACCAAAGACTTCATCCTCATTTCTGAGTTCTCTGAGCAGGTGGGCCCTCAGCCTCTCCTCACCATCCCTGATGACCCCAAAATCTGTGGCACCTTCGATCTCAACTACTTCTCCCTGCGCATCATGTCAGTGGACTACCAGGCCTCCTTCGTGGGGCATCCGCCTGGCACTGGCTACCCAAGGCTCAGCTTTGTGGAGGACTCTAGGGTGGTGCTGGGCGACTCAAAGGAGGGCGCGTTCGCCTATGTCCATCACCTTACGCTTTACGACCTGGAGGCCAGGGGCTTTGTGCGACCGTTCTGTATGGCGTACGTTTCAGCAGATGAGAGGAAAATCATGCTGCAGTTTCAGGAGCTGTCCCTCCGCTTCTCCCAGGCCTCTGAGTGTCTGAAGGCGGGGAACCGGAGAGCATTTGCCAAGGAACTCCAGAGGAAGCTGCGGGACCTGGAGTAAGAACTTTTTCTGTACTAACTTTAAACTGCTATCCCACAAGTTCAGAGGGAGTTTATCGTTTATGTAAATAGTTAATAGAGTAACCTGTTATAAAAAATGGTAACACAGCATGGCCGGATTAGTCAGTGTGCTTTTGGCCCCTTATAGACCCCTCATTCTTAACCCTACCTCACACCTACTGCCCTCTGTTTATTTTCTATATATCTAGTTGCCTCAAGTACCCATTAAGTAGATGTACACAGAAGATTATACACAGCAGCTTGAGACACTCAATAGACCAACCAGGCCTCCTATATTGGAATAATACCATCAGATCTTGGAATATGCACCATGTTAGCACAATATAAACTACAATAATAAAGCTTTTAAAATTAGATTTTGACACAGGGGTTCCGCTATCAGACAGACAAAACCAACTTACGTGCAACTTAACTTAAAACCTTTGTTGCAACCATGGAAGTATCTCACTCTGTTCAGCTTTTTATCCAGATATGAGTAACAGCACTTATTTAATATGTGCAGATTTTGGGTTAATGATCAGGGTTAGTAGCGTGATTTGCCTAGTAACATACGGTTCTACAAGACCAAGAGTCTACAGCCTTGATAACATACTCTGATTAGCACAAAGTACAGCTGAGGCTCATGGGAATATTATGAGTTTTGCAGGTATATGGTCAAAAAGTATTGATGGTACTAAATGAAAAGTCACAGGATCACCAAAGATATTAGAATTAAGACATTCCACTCACAACCACAAATGTAAATATGTTATTAGGATACATCCTCTGGGGGACAATTGATATATGAACTAAACTTCATAGTAATCAATTTAATTGTTATCAATATATTTACACTAGCGGAAAAGTCCTGCGATCACTAGAGTCAGTAGGATTCATCCTCTGGGGACCATGAATCCATCCAGAAGTTGTTGAGATATTTCAGTCTGCACTAAAGTGACCAACCAGCTGATCAATATTGCCAACCCTAGTGCTGCTAGTATGGCTAACAACCATACTGGCTAATGTACCCCAACCCTAATCTTACAGTTATGTAGCCCCTGCTGCAGGTTATCAATGTTTCTTGTGTAATGTTGAATGCTCATGAACATGTGAACCAGTAGCTCTGTTTTCTTCCCCTCAGGTACACCCACTCTGTGCTCCAGAGGGAGGAGGGCCTGCAGAGAGAGGCGGGGCCTCAGTGTATGTACTCCGCTCATGCTGTGGAGAAGGCCAACGAGCTCGCAAACGTGGAGAAGAGCATCTATGAACACAGAGACCTGCTGAGACAGATCAGCTCCTACCATCACCGTCCGCGCCGAGATCCTCATGCTGTCACCTGCCAGAAGTGTATCACCGAGTGCTTGAGTGAGTGCGAGGTGCTGTTAGACAAATACGCCAAGCTTGCCAACCCCTTTAGTTACTGTGACAAGGGGAAGAAGGAGGATGAAGGGCAGAGTCAGATAAATGAGGAAGGAGGCGAAGACGAAGTGAACGAGGAAGAAGACGAGGGCGTTAAACGCAGGCCGTCCTACACGCCACAGCTGATCAAAGCTAAGTCTGCAAAGTGTTTCGACAAGCGCCTGAAGACCCTGCGAGAGCTGTGCGACAATACTTTCTACGAGGCCACGGTGGAGCTCTTGAAGGACACTGAGAAGAGTTTCCGGGGGGACCTGTGCTACCTGTACACACGCCGCCTGGACAGGACACTACGCAGGAAACAGAGAGTTACCAACTTCCTGTTTGAGGAGGACCTTGGTGATGAAGATGAGGATGAAAGGGGAACACTAAGACCATTCTGTGCTGTGAACCATGCTGTAGATAACTACACACTCTTAAATCCGCCTCCTATTGTACTAGGACCAGAACCTTTAGAGCTAGATGCTCTGGAGCCTCCACACCCTCTAGACCCATCCTCTGAGATCAGCCGTCCTCAAGAGTTGTGCGAGCTTGGGCTTGTAGGGAGCCATCTGGAGTCCTCCCCCTCAGACCAGACTCTGGAGACCCAGGAGAGCTCGGAGGAGACCAAAGGAAGCTTCAGCAGCGATAAGAGCGGGACGGGTCAAGCAGACAGGCAACAGAATCTGGCTAGTATAACGTCAGAAGGCCCTGATTCTGACCTGACCCCAGACCCTGACCACAACACTGACCTGGAGAGGGAGAGCAGCAGTGAAGAGATGGAGACCACAGCTGGGGAAGATGATGGTGACAACGGGGGAGACCAAACACCCGTGTCTTTGCTGGAAGTGATGTCTGAGCTGGAGGCCAGCAGGGAGGATGAGTGCGAGGGAGCAACTGATGGGGCTTGCGAGATACAGTCTGACCTGTTGGTTCCAATAGACACAGCGTGCTGTATGGCCCAGGAGGGTTTCCTTTATGAGGCTTCTGCCCCAGAGACGGTGCCTCATCATGAACAAAGCTCCTACCTGCAGCCTTGTCAAACCCTGGTGGTCAACCAGGAGCCCCAGGCCCAACTTCCACTCCAGGACGACTACACGGTGGGTTCTCCATCCTCAGAAAGCCCCGCAGCTGGGCTAGAACTGCCTGTGGGACTCCTTGGAGATGCAGTTTCCCGTACCTCAGCAGAGGATGGGTCGGACTGTACCATGAGTGCTTCTACAGGGTCTGATCGGGCTGCCTCGCCTCTTGGCTACGGGGGTGTGTTGACCCTGCGTCAGAGGAAGAAGCATGGACAAGGAGCCTTGAAGTTTGTGCGACAGTATCCGTTTGCCATGCAAGCTCTGTGGTGTCTGCTGAGCGGGAGAACCCTGGTCGTGCTCGGGGCCGACGAGGGGAGAGTCCGCCGACTGGTTGCTGCTCTGGCCCTCTTTGTGCCTGCTCCTGGGAAGTGTGGAGAGAGGGTTCAAGCCTGGCTGTCCTGCCCCTTCACCCTTACTGACCTGCAGAGGTGGAAACTCATTGGATTGCAAAGGTATTTCCAATTTGCATTCGTATTTTAAGCATTCAACCAATCTTATACAAATGATAATGGAAGATTTACTAAAACATCGAGCTTGATGCTCACATAACCTTGTGAAGTTTGAAAAGTATATTCCTCTTTGTAGGTTGTATCGTATTGCACCTTACTCTACTGTTACTCATCTGGTGTGAGTCAGTCCGCGATGACTCACACAACCAGCTATTCAGCAGCCTCACATCTGTCCTTGAACTTCTTTTTCATTTCTACTCTTCAATCTTTCATCTTTCTCACTAGAGAGTGGGCTGTTGGTTCGCCAACGTGTTAAATATTTGACTCTTTTTTTTAATTGGCTATATTCTTAAACGCTAAAGGGAAGCCATTCTCCACCATTTGATTCCAGTCGCACATATAATACTACTACTCAGCTGAATGTAAGATATAAATTAAATACACCCAGTCCTTGTTCATGTAGAGATAGACAGACCTTATTTATTCCACACTGGGGAAATTTACAGCAGCTCAATATATAACACAACACAAAAAGAGTGATAGATAAGAAAACACACAAGATCTAATAGAAATAGAAAATAGGAGTTATATACACTTCTAATACAAATATGGATCATTACACAGAAATAATAACACAGATTACTGAATACACAGAGCATTAATATATTTTAAAATAATAATTGTTTATTATGTGTAGGCTTTGTTATATTTTGGTGCTGCCCTCCAGTGGCACCAAGTATGGCTAGAAGAATATAATATAAAGACAGAATTGGACCTACTGTATTTATGGTTTACTTTAAATGTGAGCATGATAACCGCCTATTTTCACTATCTGCCCCACAGAGTAGCGTCCCCTGTGGGTTCCAGCATGCTTTACTCACTATCCCGCTACAGCCGCTACATCTCCATCCTGGATGCCGACCAGAAGACCTTGCGCTGTCCACCATATCGTGGCCAACTTCTTGCCAACATAGCCGACCACCGCACCTACATCCGCCGTGGTTCCACCTACTTCCTTCACTTACAGAGCATGCTCTGTCGCCTGGCAGCCAAGGCCTTCCTGTATACCTTTACCCATCACCTCCACCTGCCGGTCAGCTCCACGGAGGGGTCCGAGGTCGTGGAGGGCAGACGCCGCTGCTTCCTGCAGGAGCAACTGGGGCTGGGCGAGGAGGACAGCCTGATACTGCTCTACCTCAGCCAGCTCATTACGCAGCAGTACCTGCAGCCCGCAACCGGGAGCAGTGCAGCAGCAACTTGTTTTAGTTTTAACTACACCACCAGCGTTTTTTATAAAATCTAATGGGAGGAGGATTCCCACGCAGGTTTTAGCAGAAATCATCTTTGACCTTTGATTTTTAAAGGACCACAGGGGATCTTAGTAAGGTCTTTTAGTTTGAGGAGTAACTCTGAACTGGTTATTGTTTATTATCTCTCTGCCTTGCTGTCCTTTTCTCTGCTCTTTCCTCTGTGTGCAGGGAAAAGGAGACAGAGTGAGTCATGAATGTCAGTGAGTGGTGTATTTGGTCCGGAGCATGTTGACACTCATAAACACACATTACAGAGCAGGCTTAGATCGGCTCTACTTATTGTCCTTTCAGTCATTTGTGTGTTTTTCACTTCCATGGGAGAAAAAAAATGTTACTTGGGTCTGTCAGTGCCCCCACACCTCACCCCACACACACACACACACACACACACACACACACACACACACACACACACACACACACTCAAGTCACTCCAACACGGCTGTCTGTGTGTCGTAAGTGCTGGTCTGAACTCAGCCACGGCTCTGTGTTAACACCCACCATCCGCTGAGCAGCTATATGTAAACATGTTTTTCAGGATTAAGGCAACAAACTCGCATACGCTGACGCTTTCTGGCTGTGGAGAACAGACGTCTCTCTGAATCTGTCCATGAGACCTTATTAGCACCATGCAGGCTTGTTACAGCTGGTTTTGTGACATGCCTCTCTGACACATAACTACTTCATAACTTCCAAGGGCCAAAACCTTTCTGAACCCTATCTTTTTTTAAATATATATTTCTGTGTCACTCACTGGCAATCACACTTTCAGTTTTCTCTTTTGGGGGTGAATTTTAACACACGTTCCTGCAGTAATGGATGTTTGCTTCCTAATAGAGACGGTGTTGAATTTGAACTGTGCAGGTTTGACCTTTTGAGAGCACAGAGTAAACATTCCCAAAGGCTGCTTTCAGGCTGTGATGCATGAGGAAGTGTATTTGCTGTGTGAATTAGACCCAGTTGGCTCCACGTGATATTGCATGTCCAGAGAAATAACGCCATCCCTCACACAGTCACCCAGGGCCAGCAGCAGCCAAAACCGCTGGCAAGCATTTCTATAGATATTACTCACATGGCCAGGAACATTTTAAAGCTACTTAACTTAAATGTATTGAATTTCACTGTTGTCTTACAGTTGTGTGAGAGTGTTGTGGTGTTAGCATGAGACTGTCTTGTGCCGGGGTGAATCACCGTACTGATAATATTTCTGTTTTGTTGTATTTGGATGACTTTGACAAGATACTGAACAGTTTGAGGAGATGTTGCTGAGACAGTGATGTTGTGTTTGTATAGATTTTATTATGGGAAAATTGTACTTTCTGTGCCATCAAAAGCAAAACTCTAAGCTTGACAATTGAATTTAGGACTATGCCTATTATTTATATATATATATAACAGCACTGTGCGGTGAACAAAACTAAACAGGTCTATATTTATTGCATTAGGACAAAATTTGGATTATGGTCATCATGTTGAGTAAACTCAGATTTCCTCTTTGGAGGATGCTGGAGAATTTCACAATCTTTATGTTTTAAGTTCTGTCACATCGGCCAGTGAGACGACACTGAAGAAGCGTCTTTGATAGTATTTTAGATTTTACTGTTCCTAATTCTGTGGCATCCGTGATGGAGTTGTACTTCTATATCTAGGATGGTAACTGTACTTGTGACTGCATGGTCAGAGTTTTAATGTGAAAGGTCAAACAATGTGGGATCGTGGCAACTGTCCTTCCTGCTACGAACAAGACTAATTTTAAATCATACGCTTTTAATTATTAACAGCAACCTTACATTTTGAATTCCACCTAATGTATTATTTTATTTTAGTGCAATTTTTGGGCTTAATGATGATTTTATTTGCCACATGCGATTTTAATTTTTTACTGCTTAAAATAAAAAAAAATTCTGCTGAGATGTATTATTTTTTTTTTAGATATTATTCCTCTAATGCAAAAAGGTGAATGTAATCTAAATAAGCCATACCACAGTGTGCTTAACATGTCGTCACTCAGTGTCCTTACGTTGCCATATCATGTCTACCTTTTGTATTTCATCATGAAGGGGCGCCATGCTCACTCCAGCCCTGTACAACGGCGTTGCTGCCAGTGATTTTAATAAAGCACGTTGTGAATGTCTTGATGCTTCTATGTAATGATATTCATTTATTCCATTAAATTATTTGAATCCATTTCATTTGTGTGTGGATACCTGTACTAGGTTAAAAAGGAGTTGATGAGATTGTGATGATTATGCTGAATCTCATGAGATACTGCAAGAAACAGACCGATGCAACCTGCAGAGCAGCATTAAATATTAAACATCAAATATTCCAACAGACTCGTGTCTGTGTGACTTGCTGTAGCAATGACGGATGTGTGAGCACTTGAGGTGTCATGAATAATAAATGCTTATCTGTGAAAACATCTAATTGCCCTTCTGGAGCAGCAGAAGGCAAGGTGGTGGACTGAAGAGAAAGTAGCAGTAAATTAATGATGCGACATCATGTTTGCAACAATATTGTTCTTTACAATAACATTAATCTGAGTCTGAGTGAGCGGGCAACTCTGTGCGAAAGGGTGCTTTTCCACTTAAACCTTTAATGATAGAAACTGACAACGTGTCTCTGATGCAGCAGGTGCTTGTTCTTTTGCAGTTTCTTTGTGACCTTGCAGGGCTGCATTGAGGCAGAGCTCACACACATATCAGCTGGCCTGATGATCAGTAGTTTCACAGTTGTACAATGACAGGATAAGATTAGGTTATAAGGGGTAAAGATCATTGTTTGTGCCTCAGATGAGAAAATACCACAAACTGAAGAATATCTGCCATTCTCCACTGGGAAGACTCATCCTATATTATTACTATCTAATACTTAGTCTTGTCTTGAGTAGCTACTGTGGTTTTTGGTTGTCTGCTGTGGAAGAGTTGATATTGACAAATTATTATTACTACTGATTAAAAGAATATGCTTTGTGACATGTAAGCCATATTTTATCTATGCAATAAGAATAAAAAACATGTAAACAAGGTCAACAAGAGTTTCTTAAAACCACATTACTTAAGGCTATGTTAAATGAATGATTGAATTCCGTAATATTTTCCTTTTTTTCCCTTAGACTCAATGTAATATTGCTGTTTTGTAGTCCTGAAGCCCAACAAGGACATGCAAAGGAAAATATTTGAGTCAAAATGTACCAATGTAATTTTTGGCCTTGATCTCAAACTACCAATGTTGTCTTTAATTATGTGATTTATGTATTTTCTTTACTCTCTTTTTACTTTACTGTGTTAACCTCTCACAAAAGCCCTTCTAGGGACGGGTGTTGCCATAGTGCACTATGTAATAGCACTACATGATACTTACATTGAATATTTGTTTTCAGCGTGTCTGTTTTCTTTACTCTGTCCCAATCAAATAAAACATAATTAAAGTACAGAGGTCACAAATATCAAAACAGAAATACAAACACATAAAAGAATACAGAGACATCAGCATTTAGTTAGGAGACCCTCTAAGGTCTTCAACCTTTAGTGATTTATGCTACTTCAAGAAAAAGGTCTGACAATCCAACTCTACAGTCAATAATGGGCTTTTCTAATTCATAAGATAAATTATCAAGAACAATAAAACCACACTTGCGTCATAAAATACAAAAAGTCAGAGAGCAAGTAAATCAGAATGGTTTTATTTAAAATTAGACTACAAGAACAATGAAGAAACAGTTAAGGTTTAAAACAATGACATTTCAAACAAAAATCATTTCCCTCCCAGCCTTCTTTAAATGAAATGAAACACAGAATTTAAACTGACCCTCACAGTGCTTATGACTTGCTGGAATGACAGGCGTGATCCAGAAACAGTTAACCTCAACCTCCTACTTTGAGCATTTGGAGTTTAGGGCATAAAATATATTTAAAAAACACACAGAAAAACAAATGTAAGCAATACAATATGGCCCCTCTCAGTGTAATCTCCTTTGCTCCCCTGTGTTAAAAAGGAGTACCAAATACTGACCCCCATAAGGGCAGCAGCTGAGGATGATGATGATGAAGCTATCAGTGATTTGTTTCTGGTTCAGGTGACTGAAATAAGACAATGTTACTTTGGAGATCTGAGAATGCACAGCTGGAGGCTGGGTGAGCCCTGATGCCCAACAGAAAATCGACCAGAGGTCCAAAAAAAACGCACTTAGCCAGAACATCCTCTGCATCCACAGTGGGTGCATTCAATGATCCGTCCCTGCAGAGAGAGAAAAAACAGCTGGATTTAGACCACGAGGACACACAGGGAATAATCAAACCATCGTTTCATTTAGGGCAGCAATGGGATAACTCATTATCCTCTTTCGAAAAATTCTGCAAATTTAAAAGTTATGTGTTTGTATGTTATTTGTAACAATGGCTCTAGGTGGCTCTGTCAGTCTGTTAATCTCAACAACCGTAAGATGAATTGTCATAAAACTTTAAGATCTCCAGAGGATGAATCCTACTGACTTTATTGAACCTATCGGACCTTTTATCTAGTGCCACCAGCAAGTCAAAACGTTCACTTATTCTGTGAAATATCTACTGAATGGCTATAGACTCTTAGTCTTGTTAAAATGCAGATTTTACTGTTATTGAACTGAAACAGAAGATAGGGACTATGAAATTAAAACATGTACAATTGACAATGAATTCCTGTGGGTGTCACACACAGTCTGTCAGTGATTAGAGAATATTGACAGTGACTGGCGAGCCTCCTGGCCTCACTCATCCAATCAAAGAGCTACTCTCTGGTCCAGTGAGGTCTTTGAAATAGTGCAGTGCCACAGAGTTGAATTTACTTTATCTCACTTGGGCAATTTTCATGAATGTATTTGTGCAGTCTTATACCAACTTTTGCTTCTCGAAATGATTAAAATAGACGACTTCAGTTATAATCCCTCAAATTCAGTGAGACTTACGACTTCCAGCTTGCTCTTGGGGACCCTGCAGATGCAGTTGGTTCCAAAGTTGGTGTCTCGTGTTTGGATGCAACGCAGACAGCACAGGTTCTCGTAGCCCTGCTTCTTCCACTTGGCAATCAGGTTCTTGTCTGCATAGCCTTCCTTTATACAGTAGTCATACAGCTCTGTCAGGAGAGTAACAGAGTGTAACTGTGAGTGGGTTTCATATCACTGGTCATGTGCAAATACAAAAATAACACATAGAGGTATAAATGTTCCATGCAAAAAGGGCAAAAGTGCTGTATAAGCATCTTAAATAATAGATGTTCTGATTAAATGAAACATCATCAAACATCTCAGAACTTTATTTTAAAATCTAGTGAAGATACCAAATGTGTCATTCTGGATTACAAGGATGGATAATATAAAATGCCTAAGTAAACAGAAAAGGGGAGGCGTAAGATGTCAAGTAGTTCAATGGTTAGAGTAAAAACTGTGTCTACCTCTGCTGATGGCTTTCCTTTTGTAGAAGAGGTCAAAGATGTATCGACTCCGCTGATGATGCAGCCTGAAAATTGGCCAGAGAGACTCCACCTTTCTCTTCCCCTCATGAGGCTCTGTTTCAGCTGAGACACAAAAGGAAGAGCAGCAAAGTTAGCAGAAATTAAAATCAATGGTGTACCTGCCCGGGTAATTAACCCCCCCCCGGGCTGTGATCTGTACTCGGGATAGTGATGTCACATCTAATGCAATGCATTAGTCCGCAACTTCAACATCCTCCAGTCCCATATGAACACTTTCCACAAGAGTTTGGGACCTGTCTGAAGGGATCTGCATGCACCACAAAAGCATCAGTGAGGTCGTGTGTGTGAGGGGTCTGAGATGGTGGATGGGGTTGAAGTCGGGGCTCTCCGCAGGTCAGTCGAGTTCTTCAACTTCAAACTAGGAAAACCATTTCTTTATTGACCTAGTTCTCCCAGCCGTCCCCAAACTCCTGCTACAAAGTGGGAAGCACGGACTGAGTCTAAAGTGCAGCTGAATACAGAAACGTGAACGGTTTAAGGACACTTTACGGTCACATGTTTTGGACATACAGTCTAATTAAAAATAAATACTTCACCAGCTCGTGTTTCATTTCCGAAATGTAAAAAGAAAATTAAATTAAATTTAAATCGGCAAAACTAGGTGCCGGACCTGAATTCACCCCCCAACAAACTGCGTGCTGTGTGCAACGTTCGAGCCCGACGGCCCGGTGCCGTGAGGACCGTCGGGACATTAATCTTCTTCCAGCTCACCTTCTCTCATTTTCTGATCCAGCTCGTCCAAAGTGGGCTCAATGAGCTCCCATCCGTCTGGAGGCGGCTTCCGACTCCTCTTCACTTTGGGCATGTTGTTCTGTACAAACACAAAGACAACAAAAAGCTCGCACGGTGTTTTCTTTTTGCTTTGGCGAACCCGTCTCAGGCGCTGTAATTCGACGTCACTTTGGGGGGGGTCCATTTCAACCTTGCGTCTCTCGAATGACGTCACCAGCCCCAAATAAACATACTTAATTTATCGGTGTTTAAAAACTGCTTAAATCTTCTCCCGGACTAACACACTATAAACATGTATGTTAACTTTAATCCAGGTCAGTAGAAAGAGGTTTGCTGACGTTAAATCAAAGTAGATGTCTTTCTGACGTTCCTGGCGTATTGCATCACTTTAGCAAACTAGCAAAGCGCCTTAAGATAAACAACAATATTTATGTGCTTTTTATTTAATAACCTACGACATTCAGTCACGTGAGTGGGTGTTATACAATAATATGCACGTTATGTAATTCATAGCAGCAGCGGTGTTCATTAAATGCTAGAAAGCCCCCTGTGTTGAAGATGTTTTTTTAAAGGCAAATACGTGAACTGCTCGGAGTATTGTGTTACTCACCCTGACTGTGAGTTTAACCAGCTGTCAGTTCGTGTTGCTGCTCTCACACTTATGTTTGGTGTCAGTATTTCCTCGTCAGTGAGTTCATAATAAAGGCTCCGTGTGTCACAATGCCCAGAGGAGGTAAGAATAACCTTTAAACCTGCTCCATGTTGTTGAACTCAATGTCTGTACATCTGTCAACCATCCAACAACAACAGGCATCGATCCGGGCGACACGCCTCTGTACAATATTGATAGTTTCTAAACTTACATTTATGTGATTTAAATGGTGTAAAAACATTAATCGAGTACAGACAACGTGTTTTATAGCCAGCTCTTCCTCTCCTGACACCTGTCTGTGCACTGTTGTTTACCCCCTGCCGTACAATCTGTGTGTGTGTGTGTGTGTGTGTGTGTGTGATGTCATTTTTCATCATGGTCGTCGCTGCAGGTAAGAAAGGTGGCCACAAGGGTCGCGTGCGGACGTACACCAGCCCCGAGGAGATAGACGCCCAGATGAAGGCAGAGAAGGAGAGGAAAAAGGTTGGTGGGGGGGGGTGCACATCCAGACACTGATCGATCACCTGTCACACGTTTTTTTCCTCAAGTGTTGGTCCAGCTCCAATAATGATGAATCCTACACTTCCCACAATGCAACTTGGTAGCATCCTCCCATTGGAAAGAGTAAACTAACCCTGATGCTTAACATTGCTGGACTCAAAGTACTTTGATTTCAGTAGCAGCTCACCAGCCAGAAGAGATGAACTGAATCAGCGGCTGTGGTGTTTGAATGGGGTAAAAAAACATTGGTTTAATAATGTGTGTGTGTATGTGTGTGTGTGTGTGTGTGTGTGTGTGTGTGTGTGTGTGTGTCATTTCTATAGCAAGAGCAGGAGGCGGATGAGGCGGGTGCAGCTCCGAATGACTTGGCAGAGGAGAAGTTACCAGGGTCGGGATCAGAGGACAGCGATGATGAAAATTCCCTGGTACGGCCGCACTGGTTCTGTCACTCCCTCGCTCTGTTACCACCCACATAGTTCTATGTAATAAAGTATTTATTAGTAGGGTTGTATTTTATGTGCACCTGTGAAGCACCTTGTACATGCTCTTATGAATGTTTGCTACATTTAAAACTTTCACTTTGTGTTTTCAGAGGAGGAGAGCGGGTGTGGAGGGCTTGATAGAAATCGAGAACCCCAACAGAGTGGCTCAGAAGTCCAAGAAGGTGACACAGATTGAGGTGGATGAGCCCAGGCAGTTATCGAGGAGAGAGAGGTGTGTGTTTTTTCTGCTAAATTGAGGCTTAAAAATGTATTATTTATTCAAAACATTTTAACAATAGACATTCAATGCCATGACATTTGGAGCAGTATGAGGTACCCAGTTTACTGTCTTACACTGTAATATGTGCTATAAAATTCCCAATTTTATGTGTTTAAAAAAAGCATCTTACCAGCATATTTAGTGCGCTGTAGAATAAACCTGATGTCTGAAAATGCTAAGGAAAGCCCTGCATGCAACAGTTAGGACATTAACACTAAAAGGCTGATGGATAGTTTATTTTTATTGTTTTGTTTTTGTTTTATGTCAATAAATTCTCAATGACCTTAAATTATTTATGAATTCCCTGTCAAAAATGTTTGATGTGACTTTCTTTATGTCCCTTTCCGCACCTTGACACACACACACACACACACACACACACACACACACTCTGTCACAGGGAGGAGATTGAGAAGCAGAAAGCGAAGGAGCGCTACATGAAGATGCACTTGGCAGGGAAGACAGACCAGGCCAAAGCTGACCTCGCTCGCCTCGCCATCATCAGGAAACAGAGAGAAGAGGCAGCAAAAAAGAAAGATGAAGAGAAAAAAGGTAAGCAAAGCATTTAATAAGGTAATTATTACTATTACACAGTTATTACCTGATGTTGGTTATTACCCATGAAAGATTATTTTCATTATCTTAAAGAAACTGAACTGTTTTTTATAAAATAGGGCAGGACACCGCTGACTTGTGTTATCTTGGTGTGTGTGGGGCTCAGTGATCTCTTAATGAGCCTCGCAGCAGCAGCAGGAGTCAAATAATATCAAACATACTCAGCTTAGCAGAGTAATGTTTGTGGCTCTGTTTCACTCCAGGCAAAACTTTTTTACGTGTTAAAACAGACATTGTCTTCATCATAACATCCTTCTCTCTTGTAACAGTAAAACTAAAAACATACTTTTTAAAGTATGAACAATAAAGCATAAATCTAACTCCTGTCCTGTAAGCTAATCAGTGAAACAAGGTTACAGCATATTAAAATGTAATCTGTATGACCTTACATTTTTCTTATCATTTATATAACACCTAAACAAACACTAGCTCTAGACTAATACAAGGAAAGTTAACATGTTTTCTACATGGATCACCAACTAGTGTGGACCTGGACATACTTTAGCCTCATCATGTACATCATCATGTATGGATCCACAACGTGCATATTTAAAACCCCTTTAATGGGTTCTCTTTTTAAAAAGAGTCAGCAGGAAACAGTAGAAAGTTATTCAAAGTGTTTATAACCATCTCAGAAAGCTAACAGTAGCTTAATTAGCTAGCTAGCTACAGCTGATAAAATCATCCAGTGAAAGTTTTCAAGTTTTCACAATCCTCGAGTGAGAGCAGTAAATTGGAATATGGTTTCTAATCAGCTAGAACTTGACCGATATATCGGTTGGTTTATACAGTGCTGTTATTATTATTTGATTTTTCTTTATTCTTTATTTTCTCAGTGTTCATTTCTAGAATTGATTGTCAATGTAGCCCATATCTGACACTATTTAACATGTTATTTAAGTTAAATATTCTTTAATAAAGTTATTTGTAGTTTGTTGTACCTTTGCAGAGTCATATTTTCATTCCAGCTCAGAAATTCATTATATCGGCTGCCATAACAGTAATGGTGAATTTTCTCTCTAAAATCAGCATCTATCTAAAAAACCCGTATTTGTCGGGCTCTATAATCAGCTCTTCTACATGTAGAACTCCTACAGCAGCCACAGCCTCCGTACCGCCACTGTTGACTGTGTCAAACTGATGTCTGTCTTTTATTTTCTGTTCATAGCAAAAGACGCAGCGGCAGCAGCAGCCAGAGGAGTAAACGCCCTCTCACTGAAATGATGCAGAGTATTTATCAGAAGCACTTTCACATGTTCACGGACTGACGCAATATATATTTGACTATTTTTAAAGAAGGAGCTATGATATTGACATTACTGTAACATATGACCATTTGGAAAATGGTTGAGGAGACACCAGTGGAGTGGGATTGTATATATTTTGGCATGGAGTAATGACCTCGTTGATCCCTCCAGGAAGTAAAGCTACATTTGAGAAAACAACGGTCTCCATGTACACTTGGAATGAACCTCTTCTAAACTACGATCTTGTACATGGTATTAATAATGGCAGACTTATCATTGTACAATTACAACTTTGCTAACTGAGCTTTGCCACTATGTTTTTTGGGGGATCTTACATTGTATATAACAGACTCATATTTCAGATTAATATGATGAAACCAGTAAAATGTGTCAATTTCTTTTATTTGCTTTATTTCCCTGTGATAAAAGTGTCGCAACTGGTTCAGAGCGACACCGGCCTCAGGTGCAAGAGTCCATGTTGGGTCCACTGATGAATTAAATGAGATGAGTCGATATAGCTGCTGTTTATTTTGGAATAGAAGAAGTCGAATCTGGCAGAAGGATTCGTTGCAGCATTAAGAGGGATTAAATTTGTACAATAAATTATTCTAAAAAACCAAAGACTTTAGGACTACTGGAGATAAACATGTTAATATGAAGATGATGATGATGAATGTCTTAGTGGAACATGAAGCAGAATTTGCTTTGTTTTATTTATTAAAGAGTAGGATTTAGTCTCTGGGTCAGTATGTATAAAACTGCTCAGAGTGACATAATTTTGCTCTTATTCTTACTATTAAGGATAAAATGTTAATAATTGGTCTCAGCAAATTATTTAAGAGGTCTTTTAAATCAGTTAAAGGGTATCAGCAGCTACACAGTGTCTATATTTTGGAAATGTAGGATGATAAGTTATTAAAACACAGGTGTGTCCACACTCCCCATACAGCGTTAATATGTTCATGAGGACTGAACATTGATACAATGAAATGTTTATATTTCTGATCTTTCCCAATGTTCACATTAACACACCCATATCAATGAAATGTGCAATATGTAATACATCAGCTGAGCTGTGAAGAGACAATAATAAAACAGAGAAATGACTAATTAAAGAAACTCTAAATAAACTTGCCAGTAAACCTTTTTATGTAAATGTTTTGACCCTTGAGTTCTCTATATTGGAAAAAGCATGATCAATTAACCATAATGATTGTTTCACACACAAACACTTAACAGGACCTTCAGAGGTTGTTCTCACTTGAAATGGTTATCACATCCTTCTTTAACTATTATTATTAAATGAATATCAATATACTGAAGATAGAAAGCGTTGAATACAAAGAATAATGGTGAGTTTTAATGGAAACTCAACTTTTTATTAAACAATTCTTTATCATACTTTATCACATGCTGTATTTTGGTGAAAACAGCGCCCCCTGGTGTTTGGTAAAGGTTGCACATTGTGTCCGCAGTGATTTCAGTGCAGAGAAAGAGGCTCCACAGTCTGAGCAGACGGTGGCGGTACTGCACCTAAAATGCTGCATTACAAAATGAGAAGGAAGAATAACAAGCGAGAGGATTGGTGGAAAGTTTGGCGGACTTTATCCTCGTAGAGGAGCATTTCTTTTTGTTGTTGAGTGCTCTGATATCCGACCACTCGTACAAGTGACAGCCGCGGGACTGTGCAGCTGGTGAGTTCACTAACTTATTAATTAATGTTTTTAATGTGCAATGGAAGCTAATGTTTGTGTCGGCACATATAATTAACTCTTGAAGAAGAACTAAACTAACTTTAAACCAACATTTAAACGTGTAACTTGGCACCATTTGTCTGTCACATGTATGCTAGCTCGTCTTTCAGCCTGTGACTTTCCTGTCAAAAGTAGCATGCTAGCTAACAACTTAGTCTTTTAGTCTTGTTTAAATGTGTTTATTTCTAACGCTAGTGGCACATTTTGACGACCACCTCCCTCTGAAGGGTTATGAAACGTTTCCACAGTGTTTTCCCCACATTGCTGCTGACTTTGTGTGTCGACCAGAGCAGATAATGGATGTCATGTGCTCGGCTAGTTGCTGAGAGGCATTTGACCAGATGCAGTGATTGACCTGTTGACTGACAGGAGACAGAGCAGCCTCAGATAAAACCAGTGTCAACACACATACTGTAATCTTTATGCAGTTGTGAATGTGTAATCTGAGTTACCCAATAAGCTGTGTTATGACAGATTTCTGCAGCTTATCAGTCTGTGTAATGGTTCAATGTTTAACTGATGATGACACCATGTCACGCCACGGCTGAAGAGTTGCAACACTGCTTTTGTTTGAGGTTTAGGACTGAAATACTGGATCTGTCTGTGTCAGTGGATACTCTTTCATAAGACATCCACAATGTGTTCTTAATGCAGATCTCACTTGGATATATTGTTTTTATGCTTCAATCTAGTCTCTGAATAAATAATCCTCCTCCTCTTCAGATTTCCACTTTGTGTGACCACACAAGCAGCGACCATGTCTTTAATGAACGGCCACACTGTGAGCAAAGAAACATGGGATTCGCACAACAAGATGATGCTGGACCCTCTGTCCGTCAGTGACTCTGAGGTTTGTGTTCACTGGATTTTACAGATATAAAGTTGTACTTACACCTCCGCTCTGGAGACTGGATCAGTGGGATATTTTTGATTATTTATATATGCATGAGGTTGGTGTTGACGTTTCATTTCTTTCACTAAAGTGTTGTTATTGTCCCCTGAATAATACAGTATTGGTGTCTATTTGTGTTTTAGGTCTTTACCATCATAAAAAAAGAGAAGCACAGGCAGACATACGGTCTGGAGCTCATAGCGTCTGAGAACTTTGCCAGCCGAGCTGTTCTGGAGGCTCTGGGATCCTGTATGAACAACAAATACTCTGAGGGATATCCCGGTCAGAGGTACGAGAATTAGTTTGTCTATGAAATCCCAACGTTTGAATACATCCTACGAGCATATGATATAATCTGTATGATCCCTGTGTTCAGGTACTACGGTGGTACGGAGCATGTTGATGAGCTTGAGAGACTCTGTCAGAAGAGGGCGCTGGAAGCCTACGGTCTGGACTCAGACAAATGGGGTGTCAATGTGCAGCCATACTCAGGTATCAGTAGTGATTTATTTAACATCTAAAGGTTAATGTTTTCGGCGTAGAGCCTGATTGATGTGATCAGTATTTTGACTCTTGCCTACTCCTTGCTTTTTCCATTTCCTCTCATCATGTTGTCCTCCTCACAACTTCTTCCTCGTTCTTCTGTCTGACTCATACTTTTGTTTATGTTTCTCTATAAGGTTCCCCTGCTAACTTTGCTGTCTACACGGCCATCGTTGAGCCTCACGGTAGGATCATGGGGCTGGACCTTCCCGACGGAGGTCACCTGACACACGGCTTCATGACTGAGAAGAAGAAAATCTCTGCAACATCCATCTTCTTTGAGTCCATGCCGTATAAGGTAGAAAACGGTCACATGCCTTTTTTTGATCTCTTTAGTATAAATGAAACCAGGAGTTTGTCTTCTAGAATAATCAATTATAATTACTGGTATATTATATAATGTAATACTAATAGCTAATTCTAGCTTAAAAAGTGACTTTCTGAAACACATTTTAAGTGTAGAGTTGCTATTTCTCAATTATGGAGTCCTGGAGTAAGTTAAATAAGATTAATCCTCATTATTGCAAGTATGTGCATGTGGCTTGGCCACTCCTCGTGAGAGCTGGCAAAGAAAACAAAAAAGCCCATCGTTTTGTAGAATTTGAGCAGCAGCGTTGTGCACTAGCTGAGCGCTGAGGAGTTCACACGGTGTTAAACAAGTAGATGATATAGCTAGTGGATTGATAGAATAGATGAATAAGACATATTTTAATAGACACTATGCATCCAAAGTCTCTAAGGTATTTGATGGTTTAAAATACATTTGGAAAATTGGTATAAGAAATAATCTGATATTAGTTCAAAGTGCAGTGTATAAAAATTAACACAGGAAACAAAATGTGGGACAAATGCCAAATCTAGGAGAATAAACATGTTTTTATTCATAGTAATTTCAGTTTTTTTAGTTAAAATAAAATAATTTTATTTACTGCTGTGTTGTGCTTATGTTCTGTTTTGGTTTATTTGATATGACATTGTCTTTTGTTTTTAGGTGAATCCAGAAACTGGCTACATTGACTATGACAGACTGCAAGAAAACGCTAAGCTGTTCCACCCAAAACTCATCATTGCAGGTCCTTAAGCACAAACACTTGTTTACTTTCACACATTAAAACAAAGATTGTATATTCAGAGAACCTAGAAAAACATCACATTCACCTTTGCGTCTTTGTCTTCTCCAGGAACAAGCTGCTATTCCCGCAACATTGACTATGCCCGCATGAAGCAGATTGCTAATGAGAATGGTGCGTATCTGATGGGAGACATGGCTCACATCAGTGGATTGGTGGCTGCCGGAGTCGTGCCCTCACCCTTTGAGTACTGTGACATTGTTTCCACGACAACTCACAAGACGCTGCGTGGCTGCCGCGCTGGACTCATCTTCTACAGGAAAGGTAAGAATGGACGTTTCTGTCTAAACAAACCACTTTTTGTCTACAACGGTTGTCTGTGGTTTCTCAAGCTTTCCATTTGTCTTCCCTCTTTCTGTTTCCCTCCTCCAGGTGTGCGGAGTGTGGATGCCAAGGGGAAGGAGACGCTGTACAACTTGGAGTCTTTGATCAATCAGGCTGTGTTTCCTGGACTGCAGGGGGGACCACACAACCACGCGATTGCAGGTACACCCTATCATCATTTTCCTGCCTTTGTCCTCTCAGTTTCATTCAATTATGTCAGCGTCTCTCTCATTTAGGTTGTGTTTTTTTTAACTGGCAGGTGTTGCTGTAGCTCTCAAACAAGCCATGACACCAGAGTTTAAGGCTTACCAGACGCAGGTTTTGGCTAATTGCAAATCTCTGTCCAGTGCCCTTATTGACCACGACTACAAGATTGTCACTGGTAAGTGCCACCACGTATCTTTTAATATCAGTTGTCATTGTACAAACTGAATAAACTTGCCTTTCTTTCCTCCTTAATTTAAGGCATTTGGAGATATTATCAGTGAATAATGTACATTGAATTAAAATAGCATTTCAACTGTATTTGATATTTTCTCTAGTGGGCCCAGGTCAGGCTGATTGTGTTAGTGCTATAATAATAATCCAAAGGTCCTTTTGAGATATTTAGATAATTTTCCTCATTGCTTTGCAACATGTTTTTCATAATTATGAGAAAGATCTTTGGTTTTCTTATAATTAAAAGATGCTATCATAATAATTACAAAAACATGATTTTCTTTCTTTTAATTATTACAGTTTCTTTATCCTACTAATGTAAACTTCACATTAACTTAAACATCCATTTGTCCCTATTTAATCTCTTTTTATGTAGTTTCAGACGACAACAGTTAAAACCCTATATATCTTTTAATAAAGGGTGATGCCATACCATGCCTGATGATGAGAAGGGGTTGTGATAACAGATTTCTGATAAATGTTAATAGCTTCATAGTCTTTATAGTGTCCTCTAATCCTCTTTTTCTCTTCCTGTGTAGGCGGCTCTGACAACCATCTGATCCTGCTGGACCTGCGCAATAAAGGAACTGATGGAGGACGAGCTGAGAAGGTCCTGGAAGCCTGTGCCATTGCTTGTAATAAGAACACCTGTCCAGGTAGAGTGTGTGTGTGTGTGTGTGTGTGTGTGTGTGTTAGCACTCAAATGCAATGATAAATGCAAAGTGTAGCCCCTAGCGTGTGTAATCTTGTGGCTGAGGTAGTCTATCCTTTGTCTCTGTGAGTCATTCTTGTGAACGTCTTGTTTCCCTGCAGAATGTCAGTCTTATTGTTTCCACATACATTTGTTGTATTAGGGGATAAGAGTGCTTTGCGTCCTAGCGGTCTGAGGTTTGGCTCTCCAGCTCTCACCTCCAGAGGCTTGGTGGAGGCTGACTTCAAGAAGGTGGCTGACTTCATTCACAGAGGTAATCCATTTAAAAATTATTAAAGCAAAAATTGCCAGTATGTTTAAACTCAGGTGACCAGACCACTGAAGTACAAGGTGTAAGGTACTCCCAGCTGACTGATGTTAACATCCTCTAAAACCACAAATGATCACTTTTACATGTTTGTGCAGGTTAAACAAATAATAAAACAGTGAGACAAATTTACAAAAACAAAGCCATTATTACACATAAATGAAACTAAAAGCCCTCCCTGCTCTTTTCCCGCTGCAGGTATTGTGCTGACCTTGGAGGTGCAGAGAAGCCTGGATCCCAAGGCCACTCTGAAGGAGTTCATTCAGGCACTGGCTCAGGGAGAGAAGTTCCAGCAGCGAGTAGCAGAAATCAAGGCAGAGGTTGAGGCTTTTGCTGGTCAATTTCCCATGCCTGGGCTACCTGAACTGTAGAGGGCGCCACTGAGACACTGATGGCTTCTGGCTTCATTATTATGCCAATTTTGGTGATGTTTCGTGTGTATATTTGTTTTGAGTGTACACATCTCTCACTGCTCAAATTGAGATACGTCCTCATGATTTCACAAAAGTTTTAAATTGGAAAAGATTTGCCTTAATGGAAAGATAGATCTGCTCCAGTGCCTTTGCTGTTTTTGAATGTGGTTTGGTCATCGAATGTTACGATCACATCTAAGCTTTAATATTGTCAGAAATTGTCATTTCTTTTGTATCAAATTTAGAATCCAAAGTTACTGTACTGCAGATTAAAACACAAACCATGACTGTTTCATATGTGAGAACACTGGATAATAAAACATGATGAATGAAACAGCTGCTGTGTATGAGCTTTCAGTTTGACGGCAAACTGCTGCAGAGTCCTTTTTAACAACATGATTAGCTAGTTATCCTTCCATTTCAATCCCAAATCAATATGAAGATACACATGAACAATGTTACTGACAGCAGCAGCCTGAAGTAGTGAGCTGAACAGTGGATGGGATGTGGGAGGATTGCAGTGTGGGGGGTTTGTGTGTTACATTGCCATCCTGTGGTGATGAGAATGAATACAGGACTGTGGTGGGCAACTTTGTCACTTGGAGTGAGCTGAACCATCTGCAGCTCAATGTGACAAAGACAAAAGGAGCTCATAGTGGATCTGAGAGGGGCGAAATCACCAGTGACCCCTGTTTCCATCCAGGGGGTCCCTGAGGACACTGTAGAGGAGTATAAGTACCTGGGAGTGTACTTTTAATAATAAGTTGGACTGGACCAGAAACACCGAGGCGGTCTACAAGAAGGGCCAAAGCTTCTGTGTAGTGTGTTCTTTTTCCTGAGGAGGCTGAGGTCCTTTAACATCTGCCGGACTATGCTGAGGATGTTTTATGAGTCTGTTGTGGCCAGTGCAATCTTCTTCGCTGTCACATGCTGGGGCAGTGGGCTGAAGGTCGCTGACAACAACAGACTAAACAAACTGATCAGGAGGGCCGGTGATGTCGTGGGGGAGCAGCTGGACACCCTGACGACCGTGGCAGAGAGGAGGATGCTGTCCAGGCTTCAGTCTATCTTGAACATTGTCTCTCACCCTCTCTACGACACACTGGCCCAGCAGAGGAGCACCTTCAGCAGAAGACTCCTCACCCAGATGCACCACAATCATTTTTTGCTCTTTTTGCACACTATTACTGTACATTTTATCTTTCATATATATATATATATATATATATATATATATATATTGTTCTTAGTAGATGCTATTTGTATATCTGGAGTTGTAATGAAACTAACTTCCCCCTGGGATTATTAAAGTATTTCTGATTCTGATTCTGATTTAGAGGATGAGGATGAACTACACTCAGTGTTATACGATATATTCACGTATATTATCCAGATTCTGTTTTAATTCAATTTATTTCAGTACATTAATTAGGAGCAGTGAACAGTGACACTGGATCTACTTTGTATGTGTCCTACATCAGGAATGAACAGACTCCAGTATTCACCCAGACCCTGGTAATAATGGTGTATTCACTGTGAGTGGACAGTTTAGTGAGATTGACAAGTCTGGTGGAAACAAATTAAATAAGTTTTCAGTAAACTTTTTTCTGAATACGTTAAGTATCATTTTTACGACTTTCCAGGAGCGTTAATTATGATTAATTAACATTTCCTAATGTTAGTGGTAAAAGTAATTGGGTCAGTATTACGTTTCCATTAAAACGGCTGTTGCAAATTAGTTTAATATAAACGTATATTTTAGGGGACATGGCCGCTGTTATCTCTAAAAAGCCAAGTTACACTTTTATTTTCCAGTTAATTAATTAACATCTCCTGAATCATTATTGATATATTAATGTAAATCTGCAGTAAGACCACCACAATATGTTGCGGATGAACCTCTCGGGGATCGTTCAGTGTTGCCTTACTCACCGGGTCAGAGGTCAGTCTGCGCGCCTCCCATCCATCCAGCTGAGGACAAGCAGCGGTTCCTGAGACTAACTAAAAGTTACACACCGACCGATGCTGAGGGATTTTCTTCAGAACTGACCAGTAAAGCGACAAAGAACATCGACCATCGTGGTTTCTCATCGGGGAGCTCGCTGATTGCCCGCTAGCTTATCGATTAGCCTGGCTAGCCTCGTTAGCCACTTTAGCTGGCTGATGAAGAAATTGGCTACTAGCTAGCTCACTAGCTCAACTTCAAGCTATCCAACCGAAACTGTGACATTTCTTCTATCGGAGCACGGCAAACTAACGCAGACATGCAGGACCTGCTGGCTAACGTGGATCACATCAAGTTTGATCTGGAAATCGCTGTGCAGCAGCAGCTGGGAGCACAGCCTCTGCCCTTCCCCGGCATGGACAGTAAGTGCTGGGATGTTAGCCGCTACTTAGCCGCTGTTGGTAAACTGTAGAGCAGGTTGACACTGGCACCTGAGCGCTGGTGGTCGTTATTATTATTAACTTTATGCACCCTCGATCTCATCTCTTCACTAAGGTTGTACTATAATGTGTTTCCCTCCAGAATCCGGATCTGCTGTGTGTGAGTTCTTCATGAGAGCAGCTTGTGTGAAAGGTAAAAACATGACAACGTTTCAGCGGCAGTATCTGTCCTGTTCAGTGGTGCTGCACATTGTGGGGTTATTACAGTAGTTTAATGTCACACATCGTTATATGTTGTATATATTGTAAGTAAATAATGTTGACTCACATCAGTAGATTGAGAATTTGTGGGGTTTTTTTTTTTTATAGGGATAATGCAGCAATTTAGTATTTCACTTCCATAACGTTTGGGGACTCATAAAAAGAGATATATTAAAAAAAAGTCTCTAATATGAGTCAAGCTTCAAAGACACTAGATCTAACATTTCCCACAATGCAGCTAATATCATCTTTTGATGAGATCCTCCCTGGCAGGTAGACGCACATGTCAGTGGTCACAAACCTTTATCAAGCAAAGATAATTTATAGTATTCAGATTCAATGAATAAAAGCCTGCAGTAAGGCAGGGTGAAGCTGTATATGGAAACAAAGGAGATTCTGGTCAATAGTATTTTTTTCATGGGTTTGGGATACTCCCACTATGTCAAAGTCAACAATCTGTTTGTCAGTGTCTTTCATCGGGACGGCAAAATAATCTGCGTTTTTACCCTGATGATGTGTTGGAGGGCTGCTGGTTCTCACAATAATAAGAGCTATCTGTGTAGCACCTTTTCTTCCAAAGAGCTTCAGAACACAGGGTTACAAACAATGTTTGACCAGAAACTAAAATAAATGTACAATGTGATGATATATTAAAAGCAATGAAAATAAAACCCACAGGAAAAAGACATTAATAACTAACATAAAAATTTAAGAGTTGACACAGTTACACCAAAATAAAAACTAGAAAACTAAACCAAGGTATAGCGAACAATAGGGGTTGGCATTAACCTCGGTGCATTACCTGTCACTGCTTCACAATAAAATCCTCTATGTGATTAGTTTGTGTAAAGATTTTACTGTTTAACAAGAGCAGCTGTAAGTGACTGCTTCAAATGAGCAGTAACTTAAGACATCATGATGTACAGCCCCGATACAGCTGTAGAATATAATTCTAATCAGTGAAAATAAATTGATTACCCTTCAAGACAAATGCATCATGACTGAGCTGTTTGTGACCTGCGGCTTCTGTCTTTAAAACTCCTCTCCCTGTGTACAAGAACAGTAAGATTTTCAAATCCAAGTACAGAAAAATAGAAAATACTGAATTCTGTTGTAACCTGGCAGTTTGAGTGACAGACACTGACCGCCCAGTGCCATGAATTAGGAATGCCTTTGTTTGTGGTTTATTGTTTTTTGTGTCCACTCCCAGGTGGGATGTGTCCGTTCCGTCACATCAGTGGAGAGAAGACGGTGGTGTGTAAGCACTGGCTCAGAGGACTGTGTAAGAAGGGAGACCAGTGCGAGTTTCTCCATGAATACGACATGACCAAGATGCCTGAATGCTACTTCTACTCCAAGTTTGGTTTGTGGACTCGATGTTTCATAAAACACACAGACGAGATCAGCGATTGTTGTCTCCTTGTGACCTTTGATCAGCATCCAGAGTATATTCTGTTAATATTTTGTTTTAATTTGTGTTGCCTCTCACAGGTGAGTGTAGCAACAAAGAATGTCCATTCCTGCACATTGATCCAGAGTCCAAGATCAAAGACTGTCCCTGGTATGACCGAGGCTTCTGCAAACACGGTAGGTCCTGCTCGGTGGTGGACGTAAACATTCTAGTTCAGTAATGATATTAACACTTGAACATACTGTTTAAACACATAGTCTTCCCCTGCTGGTCTGAATTTCTTCGTCAGCAGCAAAACAGCCTCTTCTTTTTTTGTTGCGGATCTTCATCCAACTTCTTCTGTCTTCCTGTCTCAGGTCCTGACTGCAGACACAGACACACAAGAAGGGTGATCTGTGTCAATTACCTGGTGGGCTTCTGTCCGGAAGGAAAATCCTGTAAATTTATGCAGTACGTTTCCCTTTTTATTGGATTCCTACATAATAGAGTTTTAGGTTTTGTAATTAGGGATGGGTCCCTCTCTGCCTTATTTATGGGATTAATTGTGTTATGTAGTAAAATATAAATAAATTACAAATAATTGGAGACTTCAGGTTAAAGTGACGTAGATTTAAAGGTGAGATTTTCTTCTACAGCCCTCGTTTTGAATTGCCTATGGGAGCTTCTGAACAGCCTCCTCTACCACAGCAAACCCAGAACCAGACAAAGGTAAGAGGACACACATCTATATGTATACGTAACAAGCCGCTGTGTGTTGATTCATCTCATTCATTCAGGTATTACAATGTCTGGTCAAAATTTAAACTATAAACGATTTCTCTTTGCTTGTTTCCTGCTGCAGCCGGTGCCCAGCATCGGTCGCTCCTCTCTCTCTCTAATCCAGCTAACCAACTCCAGTCCAGGCCAGCGGCCGCAGAACCACATGCCCATGATGTCTTCTCAGCAAAATAACATGACCGGCAACAGAGGGCCTCGGCCACTGGACCAGGTCACCTGCTACAAGGTGAGTCATCTAAACATTAGTCTGCTCATGTGTTCAAAATCCATTTTTGACACCAGTCTCTCTCAGTAGTCTCAGATGTGAAGGCTGCCTTTAATTCCCTTAAAGCAGTAGTTTGATATTGTGGTTATTTACTGTACAGACATTAAAGTGGTCTTGATCTTTTAACTCAATAAAGCAACTAAATGAGTTTCGTCATATTAACAAAAGAAAATCATCTGCTTTTATGTAATTTGGTAAAAACTGGCACATTTCGAGGCACTCAAATCTGGGTTTT